GGTCCTCGTCTACAGAGATCACCATGTTGCACCGCCATGTTTCTACAGTAGCTCAGAATGGACAAACCAAACGCTGGCTCTAGAGAGGGACATTCGCATTTAGCAGCCCCTCCACTACAAGCAGCATTGGAAAAACCTGTTTTTTTTTAAATGTGAAACTGCTTTATTCTGTGTTTTTACCAATTTTAACTGCCATGTCTGTTTGTTTTTGGAGAGGAGGAGACCTCTGTGGATAACTCAGCTCCCTGTAAAAACCTCCTGAACATCTGGATCTCAAGGTATCAAAGAAAAAAGTTGAGCACAGATTAGCAGGTGCTGAGCTGACGGCCCATCTTCAACAGTCCATACAGCATCAGAGAAAAACTGATTTGTAACATGAAACTGTTTTATTCCGTGTTTTTGCTGGTGTTAATCACCTGGTCTGTTTGTTTCACAGAGATTGAGATCTTTGTGGATAATTTGGCTCACCGCACAAAACTCCTGAACATCTGGATCAGAAATAAGTTGAGCACAGATTAGCAGGTGCTACGCTAATGGCCCATCTTCAACATACCAAACAGCTTTGTCTGTCCAGGCGTTTCAGCAGTTCTCTGGGTGTAAAGTGTTTCATTTGCACATGCTGCGTAACAGTTTCCTCCTGCTTTGGTGCAGATCGTCAGGGAGTTGTTTGCAATTTCTGTTGGTAAATGTGAGACATTCATGTTTCACACGTCTGTGTTTTCACAACCAGAAACAAGGAAGTGAGTCTGATGACGTGCGGAGGACTGCTATGATTGGTGAAACTCACAGGAAACTGGTCAAATTAGCAAAAAAGTTACAGCGACTGAACAGATTTTCAAGGTTGCACAAATTTCATGGGGACTGGTTGAAATGGGATAATTGCATCAATGGCAGCATCACGACATCCTGGAGAGGCTGTCTTGTGGAATATGATGCTTAACTGTAGATTAAACTACCCAACAGTGTTTAGGAGTTGAAACAAGTAAGATTTTGAAAGCAGGACTCTTATTTGTGCAGGACTTTTCCAGTGTGGTATATGCAGTTGTGACAAAGCTGCAGACAGTCTGGTGTCTCCGTCCTACATTAAGACACACAGCCTCTGTTGGTGGGCTGGCTGCCTGCTGTAATGGAGTGTAAATAGGAGTGATGGAGGGGAGGAGAGAGGGGATGTTGTGTGGATTGCAGGGCCTAAATGGAAAGAGAGGGATGGCAAATCAGCGATACTAATTCAATTAAGTTCCATGATAGTTATCTCTAATTGGCTTACTGTGTTTGTTGTGGATTGGCAGACGCTGGGAGTCTGTCGTCTCATGGCGGCGTCACTAAAAGGAAGTCTCGCTGGAAGATAATGTAAGAGCAGGAAACACTCAGGGACAATAAGTTAAGCTACGACAAGTGCTGCATTTCAAATTTGACCTAAATACAGAATTATTGAGGTATTAACCTGTGCTGTGCCTGCTAAGTGAAATAAAAGAAAGTCAAATTAAACATTTATAAAAGCAGAATCTTCCCTGTAGATTAGAGGCCTCCACCCGAGGGGGACACGGCTGGTTCGGGGTCTTAGCTCTGATCCTGATCGTAGCGTGCAGACTCTAATTTCCTCCACCATCTGCAGCACTAGCTCTTCTACAGGGGAGGGTCGACCCCCTCTGCTGCTGATAACAGGCGGAGGATAATCCAATCCATCCTGCAGGGCCGGAGAGAGGAGGGGAGGGGGGGTCGAGTTTAACCCTCTGCTAATCACCACACAGCCTTTAACAAGCCATTTAATTGGCAAGTCCTCAGTGATCACTCCGAGGTTCTGTAGTGGAAACAAGTGATGCAGGGCTGAAGGTCCCAGTGAGGACATAGAGGTCACGTCCTCACGTCCTTATGTGTCTGTTTCACTGTCATAGAATGATGTCATTTATTTAGGAGGAGACTGAGCGCTCTTTAATGTTCTTCATTTTGTCCCCCTTCAGTCCCGTGTCCTCAGAATCACAGCAAACCGTCAAACTCATATCCTAAACCTCATATTTCTGTGGCTGCAACTTTTCAGCTGATAGAAATATTAAAAATGTCTCGCTGATCACATGGTACACACACTGTGCAATAAAAGCAACACTTGTTTTTGCAGCTATCTTTCATGTGTTGAAATAAAAGATCTAAGACTTTTTTATGCACACAAAAGACTTGTCAATAAAATTTGTTCACAGATTTGTTAAAAATCCATGAAAGTGAGGACTCAAAGAAAATCGGCCCACGTCACAATAAAAGGCTGCTCTAAAATGTGCAGTTTGATCACAGGACACAAGATGCTGTGCACAGATGCTGCTAGTTTTGAGGGAGCGTGTCATTGACTGCAACCGTCTCCATTGTAGATACCATGAATTTGCCTGTACATCCAACCAGTCTCACAACCGCAGACCTTGTGTAACCACACCAAGTCATGACCTCCACATCCAGCATTTTCACCTGCAACATCATCCGAGAGCAGCCACCTGGACAGCTGATGTAACAGTTGTGCAAAGAGTTTCTGCACAAACCGTCAGAAACCATCTCATCTCAGTGGCTGATCTCAGACTATCCTGCAGGTGAAGAAGCCAGATGTGGAGGTCCAGGGCTGTCTCATGAGGCCATGACCAAACGTCGATATGTGACGAGGTCAGAGTGAGGATGTGTTGGTTTCCAGCCATGATTCAAGTCAGTTTTATTGATACAGCCTAATTCCACAAATCACAAGTTTGCCTCAGGGGGCTTTACTGGGTGTTGAAGAGTAAAAGCCCAGATGTACAAGACGGACATCAGAAAAGTAGATGTGGCAAAAGTCAACTGTTGCATCACCTCATGTCTCCTGTATCTCTGCCAAAAAGTTGCACATGAACACACCGTAAGGACAACAGCTGACGGCCAACCAGCATGTACATTCTCTGTCCTTCATCCTGACCAGAGCAGGGAGCTTCTCTGGCAGAGAAACACAATGTGGAGAGTTGGGGATCCACCGAGCTGGTTTGTTTTCCTCTGGAGACGTGCTTGACTTGCACCACCACACAACCAGGCATTAGAAATGGAGAAGTGCTTTTTGAGGGGCTCGGGTTCAGTATTTTATGTCATGCTTTCGGACGGGCCGGGTTTGGGCTTCAACCCACACGGATAGGTTTGGTTCAGGTTTTAATGTTTTTCTCTTTTGGCCCATTGAGAACTTTAGGTGGGACTGTTCTGTAGTCATCATTCAAGAAGGGAAACCAGATGATTGTCTTGATGCTGGTGAGACAGTTAGAACATTAACAACACAATCCAGTGCTGACAGAACAGAACATTTTACCGTGCCATAATAATAATAATAATAATAATAATAATAATAATGTTTCTGCTGAAGAGCTCAGTGGATAAAGAAAGATAATCTTATGTAACAAGTTTGTTTTGGTTTCACTCTCTCTGGTTTGTTTACGTTCCTCACTTTCGTTTCTTTTCTCGTGCGCTGAGCTGAACTGACTATTAGAGTGATTTCATTTACTGACACAGTCTACGGTCTCTGACACTGATTCAACATGCTGATTTGGCGGGAAAAAAGGCAACAAAGGCCAACGGTGTGGGACAAACTGCAAAAACTAGGGCAACAGATGCTCGTCGACTGTCCAACATTGACCAACGGTCGACCACTGGCTTGGTGTGTCAGGGCTTTTTAAATAATGTGAGCGTGGTCCTGAAAAAGACACAAAGCCATTTAAATGATGACATAGTTGTGTATGATGCTGGATTGATTATGTGTACAGTGTTGGCTTGTTTCACTAAGTGATATATTTTGCAACATGTCCTTTAACTGGTCCCCATGGTGAGACGTAACGTAGTCAGGGTTAAAGTCCCCTGTGTAGCTGTAGAGTTTCGTAAAGGCACACCTCACTCTGCACCGTCTTCCTCCTATTGAGCTACAAAGGAGCAACTTTGGAGTCGTCTTCCTCGACTGCTTTTATATAATTAATGACTGCAATAACACTTTAATAGGCTGACCCCGTCCTCTTCTGAAAGACACTATATAAAGATCATAAACTGCGGAAAGGACGTGCAACTTTATGAAATGTGTCAGTGGTTAAAATGCATAACTGACACATTATTAATCAGTTTTATGCGGCAGTTGAAAGTGTCATCTGAGCTGAAACATTACACAAAATGATTGTGAGTTATGAGGCTTCTGGAGCGATGAGGTTCATTGGGAACAGATGAAATGGGGAGTTAGTGAGTCCAGTTCCGTGCCTGCATGGGTCCAATTCAAAGATTCAGGTTTTTATTTTCTGATCTTGCATTTAACATAACAAACTATTATCAGTATGTTACTGGCTGCTGTATTTCAATCAAAAATTAGTCTAAAATGAATGGTTTTCTTAAATAACCGATTGGTCCATCAAATGTCAGATAATCCTGAAAATGTCTGTCACAGTTTCCCAAAAGACGAGTCCAAATGTCTTGTCCCAAAGACATTCAAAATGTCCTCTGATCAACAAAACTGCAGATTAATTTTTGTTTTCAGCTCTGTCTTTTCCTTTTCATAAATTCTTACCTTTTTTATTCCTTTATGTTCTTTCTTCTGTTTTCCTCCCTTTTTAATGACCTGAACGCAAGAAAATAAAAATTGACTGTGCATTACATTTGATGAGAAATAAATTTGTATCCAGAATTACAGAGTTTGAATGTTAAAGTACATATAAATATAAAAATAATGTGGATGTAAATCTTTAGAAAATGCACTACAATTTAATTATAATTTTATTAAAGCTTTAAATAATGAGATACATATTCAATTACAGATAATTGTTGTAATTTTACAGACATTTGCTGGAATTTAAGAATGCAGAAAAATACTGTATAGATAATAGTATTTTCTTTTTGTACAAAAATGAGAAATATTTGTCATTATTGGTGTAACACTTAAAATTTCAGCTGGGTTGTTAATTTACACAATATCGGTAATTTTTGATTTTTGTACACATTTAAAAAAAAAAAAAAAAAATAGAGTAATTTTCCATAAAATCGGTTTACAGATTTTGAATGTAAAAGTACCCATAAATGTAAAACTAACAAAAGTTGCCCTGAAATAACAAAGCAAATTGTTAGTATGGACATAAACCTTTCAGTAATGAGCTACATATTTGCCGCTCATCATTTGCTGTAAGTTTGACAGAGGTTTTAGAAGCTGTTCCTCTGGGAAACATGAACGATTTCACATCAATCTATCAAATATTTGTGGAGATATTTCTGTCAGAGAGATGACTGGCGACTTCACTAGCATGGGCTTAAACAGTGAAACTAATCGGGGGGTTCGAGGTCAAAATACTGTAGAACTGGATATTAAATGAACATGATGCACAAATCCCTGCTGTGAATAAAAACCTGTCATCTCTCATCTTTCTATCTCAGGATTTAAAAAAGGATAATTCAACTTCGGGTCGGATTCATTCGCCCCCCGGCCTCCTTCTCCTTTGACTCACATCAGAGCCTGAAAAGAAAATGACTTTTCCCTCCATCTGTCACGGCAGCAGCGCAGAGCTAATTGAAAGCTGGAAGCATGAATCCGTTCAAAAGGAGCCATGTTTCCGTCTCCAGACAACCTGCCCGATCACAATAGTCCATGAATCTCATCTGAAAAATGAAATCAAGATGAGTCACAGAGGATGCTCAGCACAGGAGGATCGTTTATAACTTTAGCTTTGGTTTCATCCTGAGATCTAATTACATGATGTGATGATGTACAAATTAAACTTCTCTGTAACGTTGAAGCTTTAATGATACTGATTAATGTCGGCGGTTGATGGATCACAGACACTGAGGAGAACATTTAGATGTTGAATAGATGTTTCTGAAACACAACAGTTTGCTATGACGACTGACTGCGAAGTTTAGATCCGTTAAATTTGGCTTTAAATACAACAGAGTTTGGCGTCGTTGGTTTTCAGCCTCATTAAACTCAAAGTCGCACGTTAGCTGCAATTAACAAATGAATGAATTTTATTTAGGTGTCCCTCCATCTCATGGGATTATAAATCACCCTCACAAAATATCAACACTTACAGGATGGGAGCCTGGGTGGGTCTTCATCTGGCTCTCTTTGTCTTCACTCAGCTGCACATCAGTGATCTGGAAAACCTGCATTAAGAACATGAAAGGATTTTATAAATATTTAATCTTTCCCAAACCTTAACCTAAGAGTATTTAATGCCCAAACCAAAGAAAGGAGTCTTTGTAATCCCGTTTTTCTATTTAAGTGAAACTCAAATCACCATTTTTTCCTAACTTAAACCAAAGTGCTGCTGTTGCCTAGACCTAAGACAAGAGTCTGGACATGAACCTGAGGTTCTGGTGCACAACAGATGAATGAAGTTGTCTCTAAACATAATTTGGGCAGTGTGTTGGACGTACCCGGGAGGCGCCCAGGAGGATCCTGATCAGATGACCGAACCACCTCATCTGACCCCTTTTGATGTGAAGGGGCAGCGGCTCTACTCCGAGCTCGGTGCAGTTAAGGTAGAGTCAGAGGTACCTTAATTTTCTTTTTTACTTCGCTTTGGTTGCTAAAGATTTTGTGCAAAACTACTTAAGTGAACATTTTAAGGAAACCTTCAGGAGAAGACTTAAGGGTGTTTTATGCAACCAAATTTATTATGAGGAAACCTTAACAAGGACTTAAAGGAAAATCTTAACTTAAGGTGTTTTGTGCAACCAGCCCCGACCTTAAACTCAGTTCATGTGTGGACGAGAGGTCTAAACAGAGAGTAAAATGTGTTAACAAAATATCTGAATCCGTGCAGACAGGGCCTAAATACACCAGGGAGGGAAAGGTTAAACTAATTATGGCGGGGCAAATAATCAGGGTGCGTTCGGAATCACATACTTTTTCTTTTTACTTTTAGTAGGTACTGCAGCTGCCCTTAAAAAGTACGTACTGTTGCATGCTGTGTGCACACCATCGGCACATACTACCTCCTCATAATATTACGCCCTGAACTTTGACCCTCTTGCTTTTAGATCCGTTGGAGATAAAACAAACGCCACTCTTGAATTCACCAGAGACGAAGATCAACCAGGGAGCTCTGCTGTTGTCACTTTGAAATGTATGTAGTCTAACTTTTAAGTTATAACAGCACAGACTGTAGATTAACATCTGCAGCTCTCTGTCAGTGTTTCTTAAAAGTTATCTGCTGTCATACAATCATCTGTTTACGGCTCAGTTGATGTGACGTATCATCCACTGCGCAGAGGATTGTGGGTCAGAACGGCCAGAAAAGCATGCTGGCTTGCAACCTGCAAAATCAGACCAGACGTAGTAGAACGTCCTGGTATTTTTGGCATCCTGCATTTGACATACTACACACTATATTGTTTCCTGGCATGCTGTATGGTAGTCTGGGTATTGGAAGGCACAGTCACACAGGCTGGAAACACACAAAGGCAGGAAGTGAAGTATTTGAAATGCGAGGAGATGTGAGTGTGTCAAAATAAAACAGGAAACGATGAGTGAATGAATGACATGATGAAAAACAAAAGCTAAGAGCAGGGGGGATGTGACAGAATCATGACAGGAAGTAAAAAAAAATTTGAGGTTTTAAAATGCAGCTGTAATTTCCATAATTTATTCAGTGTCAAACTCTCCGCTTTAATATTTTTAATCAACTGTTAGAAGGACGTTTGTTTCCCTCTCTTCAATCTGTGACGCTGACCGGTGATTCATCTGTCCGTCTCTGCTGTTTCCCCTCAAACAGACCTCACTGTTTCCCATCATGCCTTGCTCTCCCCCACTGTGGGTGAACATTATTCGCTGCTTCGCTTCACTGATCACCGTTCAGGCTCCGACTCGATCGAGCTGTCGATTTGTTAATGAAGTGGACCAGTTTCAGACCTGCAGATTTAATCCTTCAATACAGATGCTTATTGATAAAGCTCTCCTCACAACACCCAAACCTCCACCCTCCCCCTCCACACACCAGCACCACCCAAACCTCCACCCCTCCCTCTCTTTCCTCCAGCTCCCCCTGAGCCCGCCTCCTGGTGACAATCGATGGAGCCGAGCCACGGATCAGAGAGTAAGCTTACCAAAGCAGCTCGTATTGATTTGACCCCTCCAATGCGTTCTGAAGTCAATTCAGTGTTAACCTATAAGAAACAAGTCGCCCACACAGTAATCATGGATCAGAGAAATAGATATTGCCTGGTAATAACATGGTTGGAGAGCTGCATCAGAGGCTCAGAGAACACTGCGCGCTGCAGCTCGGTGATAAGCACTCCTCAAAATAATCAACACAACTGTCTCTGAGTCTCTTTTAATTGGCCCTCTGGGATAAATAAAGTTTGATGAATTGAACTGAATCAAAAACAGACTCACACAAGAATGACAAATGTGTCGTGTTTATGATATTTTTCGCACGTAGAATAAAGAAACATCCGATAACTAACGCCCCCATTAGAGTTGTGTCCACTGCTGCTACACATTAATGACAACGTGATCCAGCTCAGATGTGTTGAATGTTTCTGAGCACTGTCTGATCTCAAGGACTCCTTTTTACTGAAACCTTGCTGCCATTTTTTCAGTAGTGCACCCATCAGCCAAATCATTCCAACCCCCGGAGGATAATGTGATTAACATTGATCTTTTTGTCACAAAGCAATGTTCTGCTGGGAAACCTTTGGTCCTGGTATTTGTGTGGATGCCACTTGATGCAGTCCACCCACCAAAACACTGCTGCAGACCAAGTATCCTTCCTCATGGCAACATTCCTCCCATCAGGACAACACACTACACCACAATGCAAAAACTGCTCAGGAATAGCATCAACCTGGCCTTCAAATTCCTCGGATCCCAGTCCACTGGATCATCCTGAGACGTGCTGGAACCTCACTTCACAGCCCACAAGGTTCAAAAGGATCCAACACAAATGCTCCAGCGCCAGACACCACAGGACACCATGCATGCTCAATCAGATTGAGATCTGTGGAATGTGGAGGCCAGGTCGATGTCTTGAGCTCTTTGTCACATTCCTCTGGCCATTCCTGAGCAGTGTTTGTAGTGTGATGTGGTGCATTGTTCTGCTGGGGGGTCACTGCCATCAGGGAGCGCTGCTGCCATGAGGGACTGTACACGGTCTGAAATGGTGTGGATGTAGCATATCAAGTGGTCTCAGGATATATTGACTGTATATATAGATATGTATTAAGTAATTTTCATATTCCAGGACTCACATTTAACTAAACTTGAGTATAAAAGTGGACTGCCAGTGATCTCGGTGTCAGACACTAAAGGCCCTGACACGCCAAGCCGACGGTCGGCCGTTGACCAAAGTTGGGCCGTCCGTGAGCGTCTGTCGCCCTAGTTTTTGCGGTGTGTCCTGCACCGTCGGCACTTTGGCGTCGGCGGCTTTTCGGCCGATTGAGCATGTTGAATCAGCGGTGGAGCTTGTCGGTGAGAGAGATCACTCTGATTGGCTGTTCAGGTTTTATTTCCTCGCCCCTGTAGCGAGTGAATCTGCCTGTAGTGAAACCGGGGCTAACCGGTGCTTCCTCCTCAGGCTCCACTTCACTCAGCTGCCCCACAGACCCGCTGCTTCTTCACACTTTAACCTGAATAACAAACCGGAGCTAGCTGGGAGCGGCTAGCGGAGCGTTAGCCGCAGCATGACCGGAGGGAAGCACAGCCAGTTAGCCTCCGCTAGTCTCTGAGCTAGCCCCGGCTCTCCGTTTGGATCCAACCGGAGCACCGAGCCCTGGTTTGTTATTCAGGTTAAAGTGGGAAGAAGCAGCGGGTTTATCGGGCAGCTGAGTGAAGTGGAGCCTGAGGAGGAAACACCGGGACCGTCTGGATGTAATAGTCCGTGGAGGTGCTGCGGTGCTCGGCTGCACAGATAGGAAACCCCTCGGCTGACAGGATGTACCACTCTCTCACTCCGCTCTCTCTCACGCAGGCGCAGAACGTACGTGCTACTTGGCCGTCGGTTGTAGTCCGTGCAGTATGTTCAAATGCAACTGACACAGGGTGACGTAGATGACGCAACAGTTGGGTTTCGTCGCCGCTAGTTCTTTGATGTCGGTTTGGTGTGTCAGGACCTTAACACTTAGAGGCACCCGCCTGTGGTGCCATGATACACACTGAGCAGCCAACTACTGTAGTATAAAGACTGAGTCGTCCGCACAGGGTGAGTGGGGAGGTGGATGGGTCAAACAAACTTTGGATTTTCACCCAGGATCCTGCTGTTCATTTCCTGTGTGAAACCACGTCGGTGAAGTTATTTTAATTACATTGTTTGCTAATATGTGTAGCATGTCATGCTAGTGATGTATGTCACGATGTATGTTGTGACGTTTTATTAAGTTACGCAACAACTTTAGTTATTTTAAGACAAATCATGATGTTTTTCCTCTAAACCCAGCCATGTGCCTATTTTATGTCTATTTGAAGAAGACAACATGCAAGTTTAAGAAATGACATAAACATGTATGATGGAATCATAGTTACAATTTGCTTGTGTCCAGACCATGAAATTCACCCACTCCACTGAGATCAAATTAACTGATTCATCTGGCATCATGACGTGGAACAGTGGTTTCTCAGTTAAAATAAGAAACAACAAATGAGCGACAAGGAAGGACCTGATTGGCCAATCAGCTCCATAACAACAATGGCGAGTGCTGTAGACAAGATAGACGCCAGTATAAGGCTGTTTTAAATTGACTTTTTTTTTTTTTTTTTTTTTTTTTAGTGATTGGTTCATGTGATGGTCACAGCCTCACATGGTGATGTTTTTCCTAGTCCACACTCTTTACACAGTTTGTTATCTACACAGGTTACTTTCATTTATGGTCAACCATACCTAAACAATTCACACGGTTGGTTTGATTTAGAATCTGTTTATTTGTTTTTAACCTTACATTGTTTAAATTAAGTGTACACGTTCTAGCATTGCAAGGTTACACAGGCAAACTGTTTGATATTAATTATGTTTCTTTGTCTTTGAGTTACCGTGGTTGTTTGGGGAGGTCACTTCCTGGAGGAGCAAAAGGCGTGGCTGACTGCTGAGGACAAATAGGATGAATTCAAACGTCCACCCTCTGGACTTGCGGACTGAGCCCTTGCAGACTTCAGTTATCATCATCACTAT